AAAATCAGTCATCTCAAAGTGTTCCCACTGCTAGTGGCTGGAAAGCAGTTAAAAAGAGACACATTCTTCTGATCCCACACTGAATCCTAGAGGAGAAAGTGTACTAGAGGTATCAGAAGAAAGGGTCACCAGTAGTCACTGATACTGTGGAGATAGTTTTGAAGTCTTTGGGGCTAGGGAGAAGACAATATTAAAGTCATGATTTGAATTTGATTCAAAACCACTAAGCCTTGTGTCTCAGTTTGGGTCTCTATTGCTGTGAAGAAACATCATGACCATGGCAACCCTTGCCTTGTTTACAGTTTCAGGGGTTCAGTCCATTATGAGCATGAAGGGAAGCACAGTGGACAGGGTGCTGGAGTTGAGAGTGCTACATCTTGTAAACAGGAAGTGAATTGACTATCAAACTGAGGGAAGCTTGAGCAAGAGAGCTGAAAGCCCATCCCCATAGCGACATCTTCCTCCAACAAGGCCACACCTCCTAATAGTGTCACTCCCTTTGGGGGCCATTTTCTTACAAACCATCGCACCCTGTCTCCCTCCCATTTGGTTCACAGACTAATGTGAAAGAGGCCATTACATCTGGGAAGATATTTAAAGATACTTCTCTGAGAAGGCTAATCTAAACAACCTGACACAAGGCTTCTTACAAACTTACCTACAATTAGTCTATGAAAACTCTTATTCACAGGCACCCAGAAATATCAGAATCTGAGGAATGCCCATGACCTGGAAACTAGAGATGGAACAATAGATAACATTATCTCAGGGGCAAGAGATGGGGGGAGCTAAAATAAACATCATCAACATAGCATCAGAAGGAGCTGCACTACAACTGCAGGCACAAGATGGCCCAATGGGTAAACCAAACATGAGAACCTGAGTTTGGATCCTATAACCCACATAAAAGCCAGGAATGTTAGCACATTCTTGTAACTCCAGCACTAGAGGGCAGAGAGAAGCAGATCCCCCAACCAAACTTTTTATGTGAATTTTTTATTTTTTCTGTTTTGGTTTGAGACAAGGTTTCTCTGTAGCTTTGGGGCCTGTCCCAGAATTAGTAGATCAGGCTGGCCTTGAACTCAGAGATCCGCCAGCCTCTGCCTCCCAAATGCTGGGATTAAAGACGTGTGCCACCAAGACCCTATGTGAATAATTTTCTTTTTTTTTTTTTTTTGTTTTGTTTTGGTTTGGTTTGGTTTTGGTTTTTCGAGACAGGGTTTCTCTTTGGTTTTGGAGCCTGTCCTGGAACTAGCTCTTGTAGACCAGGCTGGTCTCGAACTCACAGAGATCCGCCTGCCTCTGCCTCCCAAGTGCTGGGATTAAAGACGTGCGCCACCACCGTCCGGCTGAAATAATTTTCTAATGATTTATTTATTCTATTTTATATGCATTGGTATCTTGTCTGCATGGATGTCTATATAAGGGTGTCAGATCCCCAGGAGTTGTAGACAGTTGCAAACTGCCATATGGGTGCTGGAAATTGAATCCAGGCCCTTTGGAAGAACAGCCAGTTTTGAGCCATAGCTCCAGCCTATATGTGAAATAATTAAATAGAACTTCATTAAATTTTTATTAATGAATTTAATAATAAATTTAATAAATTTCTATTAGTTACAAAGTAATAGACTATTAAATTTATTGTATACTTACTTCTTATATATTCAAAATGGCTAACATCCATAATCATTGAAAAAGTCATAACAACTTGTAGATTTTCCTAGCAAATGTTTCCTCTGAATTTTACATCTTTTAATTTTTGTTAGTTTTGTTGTATTTTGTTTTTCAAAATAGGGCTTTTCTGGAACTTGCTTTGCAGACCAAGCTGGCCTCAAGATCACAGCCTCCGAGTGCTGGGATCAAGTGCTGCCAGCACTGCCCGGTTTATCTTTCAATTTTTACTTTTTCTTTCTTTTTTGATTTGGTTTGCTTGTTCTTTGAGACAGAATCCCATAATAGTTCTGACTCTCCTTGAAAGGACTATGTAGACCAGGCTAGCCTTAAATTCACAGAAATCTGCCCACCTCAGCCTCCTGAGTGATAGGATTAAAGGTGTGTGTAACCATGCCTGGTATGTTCCAATTTTTCAACACCAACTTTTCAATTTTACTTGTTGACAAATACTTACTAGATAGATACTGCCTAATAGGAGACTACATCTAGCTTTATATCAAATTTTTATAAAGATTTTGAGAAAATAAATCTCAGCTAAATTGTTTTTTAAAAACCTTTAGATAGCATTTTCTCTTTGATTGGGTATATTTTAATGAGACCACATCATGTGTTACAATGGAAACTTTCCTATAGAAATACAAACTTTTCCATAATGACATTAACCAACTCCTCAGACTTACAAGGCTGTATATCTGTCCATGGCAGATTGCACATCCCGGCGGTAAACTGTCCGAAGAATGACCATGACGGGGTCAAATTCCTGATCCCAGACTTCAGCTATTAGACAGAAGAAGCAGAAACAGAAACCTGACTTCTTAGGAATAAATCAAACTCAAATTACTTATCAAATTCATTGAGAACATTTTAAATTCAAAAATTGAAAGTTAAATTTAATTAAATTGCCTTAATGAGATCTTGATGCTATGATTACTTTTACTAAGTTAAAAACCATAATTTCAACCTTGGGAATGTCCTCTTGGGTTCTACAAGACTCAATAAGCAAAAGTTTTATAACATAACAATGCCCCCACTATATAGTTTAGATTATTGCTGTTGGATTTAAGTATTTTTTTTATTTTCTTGGTAAGGTACATATTAGAAAGAATAAAATACCTTTAAAATAATTCAATTGTAAAATTATGAAAACTAAATTAAAAATGTACTGATCAGCTGAATTACAAAGTTGTTGCTTTTTTGCCCCTCAGCTAAAAATCAGTGATTTTCCTTCCATTCTGTACAATTGGGAGTCACGATCCCATATACTGAATGTGCACAACTGATGATGCACAGGTTGTTTTTAGTATTGAGTGTATATATAGCATCTTCTTTTAATACTTATATAATTATTTTCAACATGCAATTTTCAGATTTAATAAGATACAAATAAAACATATAACCTCATTAATAATCATGTCTAGATAAAGAGAGATTAAAAAAATTAACCCACTGGAGGGGGGGGGAAGCAGTGAAATCCTAAGTAAGTAACCTAAGTATGTCTAAAAGGTAACCCAAGGAGTTGGAAAGATGGCTCGACAGTTAAAAACACAGTCTGCTCTTCCAGAAGGCCCAGGGTTCAATTTCCAGCACCTACATGATTGTTCAGAGATACTTTTAACTCTAGTTCCAGAAGATCTTATGCCCTCTTCTGACCTCCAAAGGCATCTGACATACATGTGGCACATGCTTGGCACACATATCTGGCACACAGACATACATGACAGACAAACACTCATAAAAGTTTTATAATAATTTAAAAAATATGTCACCATCCAGGCAGTGGTAGCAGCCTGGATCCAGCAGAGGCAGGTGGATGTCTGTGAGTTCAAGGCCAACATGGTCTACAGAGTGAGTTCCAGGACAGCAAGGACTGCACAGAAAAACTCTGTCTTGAAAAAACAAAAAATAAAAATAAATAATGATAACAAAAATATGTCACTTGTGGTGACTCACACCTTTAATCATAGCATCGTGAGGCAGAGGCAGGTGAATTATGTGGCTTCAAGGCCAGTAAAGTCTACATAGGAAGCTCCAGGTCAGGGTTACATAGTGAGATCCTGCCTCAAAATATAACTGGTCAGCCCTGAGATCACATATACAAGTAACACTGGGTAGACTAAGCAATTTGTATTTATATATGAGAGAGAGTAACAATTAAGACGCCATCAATTTGAGTGAGCAAAAAGGGGAAACATGAGAGGGGTAAAAAAAAAAAAAAAAGTAGAAGAAAAAGGGAGATATTATGTAAATATATTTTAATTTCAAAATGGCTTAAATTGAAAATAAATACTAAATATGAGCTGAGAATCATTTAGAAACAGTGTATGTCTCACTGGTTTGGATGGTTTTTCTGCTCTCCACACAGACAGAGCTTAGGCTTATTTCACTCTCCAGCACAGGAAACTGTTGGCAGCACTCCCTCGTCTGCCCTGGACTTTACTGTGCACAACAACTACCACACAGCTTGTCTATCAAGCAGTTCCCAGATTTTGCCCAGAAAGATTCTGGTGAAAGCAGAGAGGAAATGGGGCGTGGGGTGAGCCTGGTGTACCTCATAAAGCATCGCACCATACAGGAAGGCTAGTCCATTCCTAAGTTCTTCTCAACTTCTGAAACAATGTGTTCCTTTACATAATAAAGACATACTCCACTTCTCTTTATTGGGATCATATTCCACCCGGACACAGGATTATTACTTCTACTTATGAATGCCACAGGAAATAACACATAAGGCTTTTCTTCTAGCCTTTGCTAAATGTAGTACATGCTATATGTAACTTCAAAATGCATACTGAACAAAATAATGCTGAGGAGGTCAAAGAATACAAACTTAAACCCTTTTTGTGTTTTTTAAAGAGCAGTAATTGCTTTTTTTTTTAAGATTTATTTATTATATGCACAGCATTCTGCCTGTATGTATTCCTGCATGCCAGAAGAGAGCACCAGATCCCATTACAGATGGTTGTGAACCACCATATGGTTGCTGGGAATTTAACTCAGGACCTCTGGAAGAGCCATTTCTTCAGTTCCAACCCCTTCAAATTTTTAATGTGAAAACCAGTGTTTTTTTTTCTATTAAGACCTCTCTGCCAATCAAAATCCCATCTATTTTTCACTCTTGTCAATCAAATCATATAAAAACATAAGAGGAAACCCTTAGAAAATCAACCACTTAAGGAAAAGACTTCTGTGAATTTAAACTTATTATGCTGAAAGGACCATCAGCATCCTATACAGACTTTACCTGTCTCAGGTTAAAAGTTAGTGAGCTCAGCATTATGGGAAATGCCTTGAATCCCAGCACAGGGGAGACAGAAGAAGTAGATCTCTATGAGTTTGAGGTCAGTCTGGTAGATACAGCAAGTTCCAGGTCAGCGAAAGTTACATAGTAAGACTTTGGTTTTTTTTTTTTGTTTGTTTGTTTTTTTAAATTCAACAGGGGCTGGAGAGATGGCTCAGCATTTAAGAGCTCTGGCTGCCCTTCCAGAGGACCCAGGTTCAATTCCCAGCACCCACCTGGCAGCTCACACTGTCTGTAACTCAAGTTCCAGCTCTGACATCCTCATACCAATGCACATAAAATAAAGTTAAATAATTTTTTTAAAAAAAACCAATAACATAAATGAATAAATATAATGAAAACTGCTTCAAATTAAATTTAAAAAGATACCTTCTTTCTTATATAATTTATGGTTCATTTATGTTAGTGGTCACTTACAGAATGAACTAGAGCTCCTCGCTAAGGCTGGTTTTGTAACTTAATCATTTTAGAAGATCACAATGTAGCATAAATACTTTGTTGTTGTTTGAGACAGGGTCTCTTTATTATGTAGCCCTGGTTATCCTGGAACTAGCTATGTAGACTGGGCAGCCTTAAATTCATAGAGATACACCAGCCTCTCCCTCCTAAATGAAAGGAATAACAATGTTAAATATAAAATATATGCATTTATAAGAAATCTGGCAGAAGAATATCAAACCTGAATTAATAAAAGGTTACTATGTTAGGGGTAAAGTCAGTAAAGTTCTTGTTTTAGAGAACAAGGATCTGAGTTCGACCCGAGAACACACATGAAAAGGCCAGGTGGCATGCACTTCCAACCCCAGAGCTAAGGAGGTGAGGACAGGCACATCTCTGGGGCCCTCGACCAACAATCAGCCTGTGAAGTGAGATCCGGTTTCACTGAGAGCTGTTGCAAAGAACAAGGTGAACAGCTGGAGGAACAAACAACACATTCAAAGCTGACCTCTGGCTCCATGAATACACACACCCATACAAACATGCATGCACACTAAATAAGTAAATACACAAAAAGCATTTTCTTTCAGTGTACACAGGAAAGAATTTATTTACATGTGTAAACATACCTTTAGGAGTATACATGCCTTGTTGCATAGAGCCTCCAGGTTCAAAAACAGGAGCCTTAAAATCAGCTACAGTAGATAAAACTGATTCAAAGCTGTAACTTCCAGGAACAATGCCACTTTTGGGGTTGGGATTTTCTGGGATATGATGCATTTGTCAAGAAAAAACAATGACTAGGACAAGCTTCAAAGTCTGCAAATTACTCACTTCTAATTTTCAAAATAGAAAATGACTAGCCGTAATGTATAAGGTTGGCCACAAGAGGGCCACATAATCGATCAGTATTAACTTTATTATGATGTCTTTTTCAATAATTTAAATCTAGGAGCTAGTTAATAAACTATACAGTGAAGTAGTCCCAAGTATACTTTCCCCTGAATAAATTCATCAAACTACATCAAATGAGAGGGAAAACAAATTTTAATTATTTCTATTTTCAGCAATGCATAAATATGCTGCACCCTTCTTCAGAAACCCAGAAAAAGCAGGGCAGTGGTAGGTAGCACACACATTTAATCCCAATACTCAGGAGGCAGAGGCGGGTGGATATGTATGAGTTCGAGGCCAACCTGGTCTACAGAGCAAGTTTCAGGACTGTAAGAGCTACATAGAGAAACCCTGACTCAAAAACCTACTACTAAACAATGAGTTCAACACAAAGTAGGCAGAGGATAATCCATAAACTTGAAAATTCAAGACCCAATTCTAACAAAAATCTTCAGGATGTTTAAAGCCCCAGTGGTAATTATAAAGACTCTCTCTAAGCTCTATGCATCCCAGGTTGGCTACATAAGGAAAAAAAGACATAGGTTCCATTTACAAAATGCTCAGCTTCTTCTCCCTAATGCTGTTTTAGAGGATTGGGTCCTGTGTCCAGAACTATCAGTTCTGAGGTCAACCTGAAGTCTAAAAAATCTTCCCGAGAGACAGTAAGAGACAAACGCTTACCACCTGCCCACACATATCCTTCAGCAAACAACAAAGATTTTTCTCCTTTTTTGTCATATTTTCAAGTTTAAAAAAAAAATCTTTAAAAATTGAGACATTTTTAATCCATAAAAGTAATTTTTACCACAAGCACAAAATTACAGTTTTAAAGGATATGAGGTCAAGCAAAGAGCTATGTGTCCTGTCATTCATACACAGCTGGGCCACCATCTCTGCCCTGAGAATCTCGTCATCAGACATTCCTAAAATTATTAAAAACAGAATTAATCTATATAGAGATGCATTATAAAAAATTCATCACATATTTTATTATAATGATCTATAAAATGTGGAATGCCTTAAGGTAAAGAGTAACAACTACAAAGCCCAAATCGAACTGCAGTTTCACTGCCTTGATATTGCTGCTCCTGTAGGCAAAGAACTTTTTAAAGATTATGCTAAACCACGTGTGAATTATACATGTCAAGATTTTAAAGGTATGTTTAAATATAACAGAGGATTAGGGAAGAGAAGGAAACAGTCATTAATATCACCATTCATGGTTTACCTAAGTGTAAGCGAAGACTCAGAAGAATCACAAGGAAGGTGAGTGCACCCTCCAGCATTGACCGCTCATGCTCCACATCAAGTACGGTATTGTGGTGCTGGGAAGCCATGGTCAGCAAGTCCACCACCTTAAATCTAGAAGAAGAAATATTGCAAATTCATTTTTAGAGAATAAAACAAAATTAAGTTCAATTCCCAATACCTCCTAATACCTATCTTACTATACATACGCTTACCTTTCAAAGACAGATGATATAAAGTAATCTGGATCAAGTCTAGAAGCACAGACCTTTAAAACACAAGGAAAACTTTATTTCTCACATTTGGTGTTGCTTCTTAGATTAGTCATGTTTTTAAATTTTCTGTTTTCTTCTACAAGCCATAAGACACACAAAACCAGAAAAAGCATCGAGGTCTAATAAAGATACTAATGATAGCTGGGGATACCTAATTCCTCAACAGTAGAAAATCCATGGAGGAATGCAGTCCCACACAAGCGTCCACCCAGTTCATCTAACTCACATGTGAATACAGTGTCTCCCAAGCCCTCAATGAATCTAAGGCTGCATGCGACACAAGTAGGTATAGCACCTACACTGCAAAGCCTGCCAGAACTATTTAAGCTCCTTCCTCCCTTCTATCTGGTCTTTCCTATGGAAACCCTCAGAACAGTGCTTGCCTGGGCTTTCTCCAGTCTCCTGCTTCTTCCTCTTAACTAAAACGTGATGCTTCCCTTGTGGTCCATATGGTACAGCATCCTTCCTTTGGGAAATTGAAGTAACATATTCTTTTCTCAACAAACTAACTTCTCCTATCATCACTGTTACTTCCATGAATAAAGATACCAAGCACATCAAGGCACTTATAAAGCACAACATCTGAATATCAAGGTGGCTCACCTGTAATAAATAAATGTCTGGATCAATCATGGAATTGCAGAAATGAGACTGGACATAGGTCATGGCTTGTCCTTTGATTTGCAGACCATTTCGTACCCACATGTTGCTATGAATTTCAGCAAGACTAGCCTGACAAAAAGTGAATTAAAAATATATCACCCAAATTCAGTAAAATTATATTGTATCAAGCAATTATTTAAAATGTTGACTTAATCATAATATGAGCTTAGCATTCTGTCCAACATTATTCAGTTTAAATACACTTTTTCGTTTGCTTGTTTTAGTTTTGCTTTTATATTTAGGATAGGGTCTCACTATATAGCCTAGGCTGACCACAAATTCACTATGCTCCTCAGGTTGGCCTCTCTCTGTTCCACTATGTAGGTTTATTTTTAAATATCCAAACTAAAGACTATATTTTATATAGCTCTCATCACTGAAATTTAAGAATGAGCTAATTTTTCACTAAGGCTTCTGGATACATTTATAGTAACTTCACTAAAATCTTTTTTGAGAATTCAGTACTTATTTTTCATTCTATTTTTCCTTCAATTCTCGCCTTACAAAATATACACATAATGCTTAAAGAATGACCATAAAACAAATCTAATTGGTCAAAGTCGATGAATACACTCTATTTTGGCTCAATCTAACTCAACTTTCAACCTAAAAAAAAAATCTCATAAATAACTGAAACTAAAATCAAACTTCAGATTAGAAACTGTCCTTATTCTATTATAACTTAATTCTTCATGTCAGCATCAACTAAAAGAGGATGAGACTACAAGAGCTCCCATTCACAGTGTTCTAGAAGCCGCATACATACTTGAATCTGGAGGGGATGAATCATTAGTTTCATTAACATCTCCTGATCCGGCAAAAGGGAATCCAAATCTAGTTCCTGACATTTCACAGCCTAAAAGAACCATGATGAGAACATTAGTAATTCAATATTCTCCCCAAATTACAAACAACACAACAGAGCAATGTGTGACTGACAGTCTCACCTTACTTAAAAACATTGCATAATAACGATGCAGGGGCAGGTGAAAGGTGACCTGGTTAGGTGCTGGCTGGAGTAAACAAAGCACACAAGTCAAAGAATGTTTAGCACAAGTTCCAAGGCTTTAACATTGCAGACATAGTCCCACCTAGATTAACTCGTACACTCGTTTTTAATCAGCACTTAAAACCTTAGAAGCTTTGAAAATAACATCTCAGCAATAACTTCTGAAGTTACAAATACCAAATTAGAATCAGTTCTTTGGTGTTAAAATGTAAGTTTGACCTCATCACTATTTATGTAGCTATAAAAATACAGACAGATGAAGATATATCTATATCCCTATCTACGCTCCTACTGCTTAGTTAACCCCAGGAAGAAGGAAAGTCCACAGCATGAACACAACTACACCCAATTCTTGCTTTCTAAACCCTTTTCTCCACTAGAAATCACCAGACAGTCTTACAAACGCTGACTCCAGGAAAGGAATGGGAACTATACAATAAGTCTAAAACATCTGAAGGGACATAAAGCACGGACGTGGACACAGAAACCAACTTGAAGGGGTTCTCACTGGTATCAAGTTCGATACAACTATCTGAAACAATCTGAGCATCAAACAGATAGAGCACTCTGAGTAAAACAGAAATCACGAACCCCTACCATATAAAAATAGGTTAGTGAACTGAAAACTGAATAAGAACATAGTAATATTTGCATAGTTTCAAGGTGTATCCTCACAAAAGATCTTATTACAGTGAGAAAAAGAACTTCATGTTGACGCAGCCCAGCAGCCATCACACTGAGTGCGTGATCACAGTGAACAAGCACTGGGACAGACATGTCACAGACCATCAGACTAGAAACAGTGAAAGCCTCCAACAGTCTTTCTGGGATGTTCCTGGAAAATACATATAATCTGAATTTAATCATGAGGCAAACCTAAACTGAGGCTACTACACTACAAGAAAACTAACCTTTTTTATTTTTTTATTTATTTTTATTTTTGAGGGATGACAACTAATCTATGCCTTTCAAACTGCCTCTCTCTAGAAAGATAAAGAAACATTAAGTGTTCCAGAAAGAGATCTGAGATATGGTAACAAAATTCACCAAGAACCCCAAGAGGAACATCAGTGAGAACTGGAAAGACAGTAAAATGTATATGAGAACTGTGCTCCAACTCTCCAGAACTCAGGTCAAAAATGTCAGGTATCCTGCTACTTCCCTATAATCCCAGCACTGGGAAGAGAAGGAGGAAGGCAGATCCTAGAGCTATCCAATCAGGCTGGCCTACTTGGTGAGTAGCCTGACAATGAGATCTTGTCTCAAAAACAAGGTGGACAGCTCCTAAGGAATGACACTCAAACTTGATTGTGACATCCACAGGCATTTGTGTGATTTGCATGTACGTGTGTATGTGCGAGCACACACACAAAATATATATACCAACTACTAAGACAAATTAGGTGAATATTCTAACTTACAATGAGTGCATATTAAAGTTTTGTGTAGAAATGGGGATAGAATCAGTAACTTGGATTTCAGAAAAGAAAGTTCTCTGTATTCCTAACTTTTCTAAATTTCTTACCATATTAAAATATTTTTCAGAAAAACAAACTATATATGAAGATGCCCATGACTTTTGTACGCTAAACTAATTTTAAAAAAGAAGAATTCACCACCTTTACACACATGCAAAGCTGGAGTCCTACCCGTACAAAGTTAAAGCTTAAATTGGGGAGTTGGGCAATTGGGGAGCACTGTCTGGTCTTTCTTCTGCATTGTGTGTTCTGAGCTACTTCTAATAAAAGGAGTGACGTCTTCAATGCCAACAGAGAGTGCCCTGTGCCAGCTCTGTTCATCATTAATAAAACACACCTTGGTTCCAGCTCATTCTTCCATTCTCTATCAAGAACACTGCTCAAATAATAAAGCTGGAATACACTTTTCATTAACTTCTTCTGCCCCATTCACATTTATGTCAACACTTTTAGTTCTTCAACTGAAGCTAATTTTGTCTCCTGAGAAATGACACATATAAACTTAAAATGGAAAAACTATGTTTCTGTCCTCTAGGATATAAGCAAACACAATTAAGGTACTCAGCAATTTCCAAAATGTCAGTCAAAGGACTAGCCATCCCTTTTCCATTCCAATTCTTCTACTCTAAACCCCATAAAAAATACTCATAATTTTCATTGTTAAATGAAATCTAATACTTTTTCCTTAAATGCTTTTATATATGACAAAAAACACCCATACCTAGACAGGTTATAGATGCAGTTCAGTAGTATGGCACTTGTCTAGCATGCACAGAGTCCTGGATTCAATCCCCAACACAACAAAATTTTAAGCATTTTTTATACAAAATATACATAAACATACCTCATCTACAAAGTTAATAGCATCAAACCAATCCTGAAGTGCTTCAAGGCAGTACCTTACAACATTTCGGGTATACTCTTGAGTTTCCTTTAAAACAAAAAAAAGTTACAAAATTTCATAGTACATAACATACATATTTTCAACATTAAATTACATGTAATAATAATTATAAGCATTGCATATATAATGGTAAAATGTGTATATTTTCAAGATAACCTATATTTTCTGTTTCAAGAAACCATTCCTTCATAAACTAAAAGTAGCAACCAATGACAATTATGTAAATTACCAAATACAACGTGCTGCCTTCTATATATTCTTGAAATTGAAGCAAAGTTGGCAAAAACTTTAAATAAATTAAATGCATGTTCTATTTCAATGGCTCCCCCAAAATATTACAAAGTCATTGCTATTATTACTATTGCTCAATAAAGTCTCTTTGTAGATGATGAAAAAGTACTAGACAGAAATAATGGTGATGGGGCTGGAGAGATGGCTCAGTGGTTAAGAGCATTGCTTGCTCTTCCAAAGGTCCTGAGTTCAATTCCTGGCAACCACATGGTGGCTCACAACCATCTGTAATGAGGTCTGGTGCCCTCTTCTGGCCTGCAGACATATACACAGACAGAATATTGTATACATAATAAATAAATATTAAAAAAAAGAAATAATGGTGATGTCTAAAAATCACCTGAAAATGGTTAAAGAGCAATTTTCAATGGCTATTAAAAACAATAAAAAGAAGGCTACAATATATATGTACTAGAATTAGCCTGTAATATCTTGGTTTGGAAGAAGAAATGGTGTGAGCCATTTAAAGCATGAGAACTGTGGAAAGCAATTACAATGTCTTATAATAAAATGGATCCACTCAGTTAAGTTTTAAGTTAAATGAAAATGTAACTCTAAAGGAGGCTCTTATTTTAAAAAAGAACTATATATGCAAGGACTGGAATAAAAATCTCTTCCCCCCTTCTCTCCAAAAGTATGTGTAGTTCCCGGAAGATACTGGGAGGTCAGAAAGGGAAAGTAAATGGTTATTTTGGTGGACAAGACAATGTTCTATAATTGGTGTAGTGTGGTTGCACAACTTTGAAAATACACTATTAACAACTGAATTTTATAATTAAAATGGCTAGAACAGCAAATTTAACTAAATTAAGACCATTATGAAATGTACATCAGGAAGCAATGTATAGCATAAATGTGCATGAAGCATCTAAGTCAAGTGGCTCAACCTCCACAGCTACCTATATAAACCACCATGCCTTCAAAACCCAAGGCAAATCTTACATTCCTTCCTTTCTTTTCCTGAGACAGAGTCTAATGTATCCCAGGCTGGCCTTGAACTCCTGAACCTCTGCATCCACCACACCATACTCCCCATTCAGTCTTCATTTCTCCTTTACCTTGCTCTTCTCCACGTCCTGTCACTTCTTCCATGACATTATCAATAGGTCCTCGCCTATTTTGCTGCCACCATCCAGTCCAAACATCACTTATCTGGTCACCTTGCCAACAGTCTCACTCTGTCCCAACCTATCCTGTATAAGATTTATCTTTATAAAAATATTATCTTACACATCTGTTCCCCATCTCCACTGAAAAAAATTTAATGACACTTACAAGTTAATAATAACTAATCTGTCTTAAACAAACTAAAATGGAAGTTAATTCATGTATAAAGAAACTTTGAAGGTCAAGAACGAAGATGGCTCTGTAGGTAAAGGCGATGGCCACCAAGCCTGACCGAGTTCACCACCCAGGACTCAAATAGTGGAAGAAGAGAACTCACTCCTGATCTCCACATCCACCCTGTGGTGCACTCGTACACATTCAACCCCTCCAACAATCAGCCAATCAGTCAATCAAAAATAGATAAAGTGTGAAATAAGGTTTATTTTTCAAGAAAAAGAAACTTTGAAAACCAAATATGCCACTTTCAAAGTCTGAAGAGACTGTTACATGAGTGTCTAAACAACAAAACTTTACCACAGCACAACTTAGCCAAAGGCACCAAGAGTGCTTCTGAAGATGGCCTATTAATTCCATTTCCAAACGTAGTGTATTTCAACACTGTGTTCAGTTGATCTCTTCTCAACCTCCCCACCTTAGTGTACATACTGATTGATATTCATCATTTTATAACCTGCTAGAAGCAACTTTAATTCTGTCTGAATTTCTCCATAAGATGGGCATAACGCAACCTACCTCCCAGTAGTCATGAAGATACAAGCGAAATTATGCGTATAAGATGCTCTATGTCTGTCTAGCACTAGATCTCATTAGCAAGTAGTGGTATGTGCCAAGAATCAAGGAGATTCATTGAATCTGCAGTAACCAAATATGCCACTAGATGGAAGCAATTATACAAAGACAATAAATCATATGAACCATAACTTGTTTAATTCTTAATCCTTTATTTTTATATTTTATAATGGAGAATGTAGATAAAAATAGATGCTTAACTTTAAATAGAATTGTTTGTTCTAGTTTCAATTTCTAAAAACTGTCAGGACTGCCAAAAACAGCCCTGGCCATTCTCACTGAAAAATAAATAACAACAATTTGGTAAAAAGCACTGGCTCTGAAATCAGAGACACACGCTTTCAGATTCAGCTTCTACTTGTAGCTGGGAGAACCAAGAAAGTTGTCTAATCTCTGAAGGAAAGGGCTGATACTTCCTAAGAGATGCTCTGAGGGTTGGGTGAAAGTATTTATAGAGTGCCTAGCACAGCATCTGGTATCATGTTGATGCTCATCAGGTAAACCCCTCTCTAGAAAGTGGATGCTTCTTTAACTGGAACGTCACTCTCTGGGTTACTTCAAAGACTACAAAATAAATTGAACAGGATTGTTTTCTCAGTCTTCTATACCTCTTTGATTAAGGGAATACTTATATCTAGATAAGCATACTATGATTCTGGCCTTCAGAGACAAAAAATAAACCACTGCTTAGAACCAATGATTTATCACAGAGATAAATAGAATACCAGCTTCACAATCCAAATTCACCCTAAGCAAAACTGACCAAATAACCTGCCTAAAACTTTCACCTCCGTGGGTCAGTCTGTCTTCCTGCATCACTGTGCTGCTAACAAGACACCTCTTTCTTCCGTGTCTCCTCCTCTCCCTTCTCTCTTCATGGCTCACATCTCCTCTCCCTTCTTGATCCCACTCTCTACAGTACTAAACACAACCTACATGCCAAAGCATTTAAAGCTCATAGCCTCAGTCCAGGTTTCTCTTATCGGCGTGAGCCGCACAGCAGCTGTCTTCTCACAGACATGTCACACGAACCTCTAAAACTAACTCAGCCCCTCCTTCTGTCACTCTGCCCACCTCTGTATGCATTATCTGACAGTCAAGTCTTCTCAACAAAAATATACATCACCAAGTCTATTAATTATGTCTCTAAAATACATTTTGAATATTCAAAATATATATCTTGAATATGACAATTTCATGTTTATGCTTATGATCTCATGTTTAAGCTACTATTGTGGCATCATTTAAATTAACTTGAATTTATTTATAGAGTAAAATGTGACATTTTGATGCCTGTGTACACAATGAATGATTATATAAAGGTATCGAAAATCATCTCAGGTGCTTATCTTTTCTATTTCTTAAGATTTATTTTTTAGCCAAGCGGTGGTAGCACATGCCTTTAATCCCAGCACTCGGGAGGTAGAGGCAGGTGGATCTCTGTGAGTCTGAGACCAGCCTGGTCTACAAGAGCTAGTTCCAGGACAGGCTCCAAAACCACAGAGAAACCCTGTCTCAAAAAAAAAAAAAAAAGATTTATTTTTAGTTATGTATAGGTGTGACTGCATGTGAGTGCAAGTGCCCAGAAGCATCAGATTCCCCTGGATTTTTAATTACAGATGTTGCTAGCTGCCTGATGTGAGTGGTGGGAACAAAACTCAGGTCTTCTAGAAAAGCAAGTGCTCTTAACCACTGATTCCTCTAGTCCCCTTTGGTCAAAAGGAGGAGGAGGAGGAGGAAGACGAGAAGGAAGAGAAAAAAGAGAAATGGTATTTTGTGGGTTTTTTTTAATAGCGAGAGTATTCAAACTCTATTCTTTTAGAGAATTTGAAATAGTGAGGTAGGCCCAGAGCGATAGCTCATCATGTAAAGGCACATGCCTCCAACTCCTAATGATGTAAGTTTGATCTCTGGACCCATATGGTAAAAGGAGAGCATCAATCCAGCACACTGCCCTCTGATCCTCACATGTGAGCCATAGGATGTGCATGCCCTGTGTACACTAAGTTTAAAAATTTGACAAATTTTTAAAAGAAAAATGTGCAAATGTTAAAACAAGTCCCCCCCCCAAAAAAAAGTTTGAAATATACACTTTATTAATGTTGATCACCATGCTAAGCTTCAAATCTCCAAAACATTCCTTTGGTCAGTTTTAAGCCTTGTAATTATTGGTCAAAATCTTCCCTTTTTCCCAAGTTCCGTCACTATCAGTTTCCAGAGAGCATCGTTCTTCTCCTCACCTCTAGAGGTGCTTTTTAAAAATCATAAGTGAAATATCCATGAAATTGGCTTATCAAAACATCTTAATTAATCTGTCTGTTCCTAATCGTGGGTGTATTGTGTGTTTTTGCACCTTACATGTGCTAGACAAGCGCTCCACCACCATGCTACATCCTCCTCTACGTAGTCTTTTATATAGAAACCTGATAGCAAACTGTTTTAAAATATTCATAGACTACTCTTTAATTAAACCCAGGACTCTTCAAAGTATCTACAAGAACCTGAACTGCAATCTGACCCCTCTCTCTCCAGTGAAGCATGTCTACTCTTGTAGTATAGACACCAATTCCCTATCCAAACACTTTTCCCATCTACCTCTCCACAACCACCACTAACCTACCCTCTTTTTATTCTTCACACAGCTGGTTCCTTCATATTCTTTTTTCAGAAAGGCCTTCTATAATTTTCAGATTTAAAATGCTTTTCTCTCTCACAAAAACAGTGTTACTTTGCCAGAGAGCATAATAACAAAGTAAATTCATATGTTTACACTGTATTCATGAAAATAACAACCATGTCTATCTAGTTCAATACCAAAATACCTAAAATATAGTGTCTAACACAGACCAGCATTTAACAAAGGTTTTCGAGTAAATGACCAACAAACAGTTCTTAAATAAATGCTACAGTTGAGATTAAACAAGGAACTACAAACACACAAGGAATGCTATTTGATGAAAAGACATTAAGCTATCGACTTGAGGCTTACAAACGTTTTCTCTAGTTAGAATTGCTACTCAGATTCATCTGCATATCAAATCAATCAAAACCTCTAACAGTGGGGCTTAGGAATGTATTCTTTTTTGTTTGTCGGTTTGTTTCTTGGGGGATTTGTTTATTTATTTTTACTTCCCAGATAACTTTCCATGAAAGAAAATCACTGGGCCAAGGTAAGAGAATGAGAAAGTGTTGGGGGCACAGAGGTCCTTGTACTTACAGAGAAGCACTTAGAGAACCAGGAATGTTAATCACATAGAGATGTCTCCTCAATGGAGACGATAAAATCAAATACCCTGGATCTGTCCAGAAAGCTGAGTGGATTTTGTTAACAACCTGGTGACCTTTTTGCTATCTGTGGAGACAGACCTCTCCCTAATTCCCAGAATAGTTATCCCAGACTCTTCCCTCCCTAGACCATTACCCATCACTAGGGGAGATGTCACATGTATTTTATGGCCCGCTGACCTCTATGCTATTGGTCAGAGACCACATTAGATTCTAGCCCATACTAGCTACAGAACCCACCCTCTCATTCACATGTACTTTGACCACACATGACCACAAAGAGTCTCTATGTGGTCACACCTTAAGCTTTATTGTGTACCTGGAATTGAACTGATTGGACTGATAATTGTCTGAAAACCTTTTCCCAAATAATCCTGTTTTAAATATGCTGACAATGAATCACCTGATTCATTCAATGACTGCCTGATGTCTGATCCAGGTTGATGAAGTCAATTTGCACTGCATTTTCATTCTTATTTCTTTGTGGGGTTGTTTCCCTGTACGGCACCTGCCGGGACCTCCCCCTACCACAGGAAAACATGTCCTCCAAAATGGGAGAGTGGAGGGCTGGCCTTAACCAAAGCTTGAAAACTAAGAAAGGAACAACCATGGGGCACAGCAGGAGGTGTAAGAGGACGAGTCCACATCTAAGTTAAGGCAACTGTGGTCAAACTTAAATCATTAATGATATAGTAAGTAGCATGAAGAACACAAAATGAAATACAGTGTGGATAGGTGATTATTCTGAAGCTGTCCCAGCACTTGGGAGGCCAAGGTGAGAGGATCATGAGTTTGAGACTCAACAGTGAGAATGTACATCAAAAATAAAAACAAAATCTAATGAAGCAGGGTAACTGAGGTTTGTCTTTGCTTTTTAAAACATATAAGGCCCTGGATTTATATTTAACACATAAGTCCCTAGCACTAAACATATACATATTCATTCATTTATAATCTTTGTCTACCCCCACACACACACGGTTATTAGAGATTTGAGACATTTCACATGCCTAGAAAATCGACATGACTAACATGATGCTTTGAACTTTGAACTACACTAAATTCTAAGAAACTGAATTTAGAGAATAGGTAAGTCCGTGGGAGAAAATAAAAAAAAAAACCTACTGAAAGAAACATAAACTTAAAGGATAGAAAGAAACCTCATTATTACCTAGAAGGAAAAGCTCACCTCGCTGTCCCATTTTATGTTTCATTTTGTTGTGTTACATTTGTAAATGGATTTAAGAGAAAAAAAAAGACACAAATCTCAAAAAGATGTTCATGGGTTGACCTAGTCACCCCATATAAAGAGAAAGCAGAAACTAAAACAATGAGCTTTAAAATATTCCCAATGTAAGATGCTACCTATGCAAGGAGTGCTGGCGCACGCCTTTAATCCTAGCACTCAGGAGGCACAGGCAGGCGGATCTCTGTGAGTGCCAGGCCAGCCTGGACTACATAGCAAGCTCCTGACTAGTCAATGATATGTAGTGAGACCTTAGAACGTTCACTGATACAGGCTAATGGGTTGAGCATCATGGGATTTTATATCAAAATCTTCATGCAATCCTTAGTTTAATAGATTAAGAGGAGTAGTTCTGATTAATAAAGACCCATCAAACTAATGACTAAGTATATATAAAAAAAACTGAAAGTTGTATAAAACTATTTTGTGCTTAGAACCTTAAAATTAGAAACTTTAAGCCAGTCATGATAGCACACACCTAGAATGCCAACACGTGGACAACTGAAGCGAAAGGACTGAAAACTCAAGACCAGCTTGTTAGACAAACTGAGTTCAAGGCCAGCCTGAGCTATATAGCAAAACTCTATATAAAATGATAAACTTTTTTTGAAGACCATCTTTATCTTTGGAAAGACACAAAGTATTAGATAGCTAGGGACAGTTAAAACAAACCAATAATGCTAAAGGTGGAGTATTATGAAGTTTCAACAACTGTTCCAAATAGGAGCAGCTGGGGAAGTCTGATGATATAAATGAATTTCAATATGCCCAAGAATAAAATATATTGTTTCAGATAAGCTTTCACAAAGATGAATTCAACTTGAAACAGAACTAAACACTACACATTAAATATATTTGCAGGTGTGTTTTCTTTCTTAAGTCATTTTTAAAATGCAGAAATTATTAAAAAATACTTCAAACATACCCTAACTTTACAATGTGATAAAAGTCCCCACATCGGCTGTGCACAGGCTTCAAGCTCAGCAGCAAATGCAGCATAGTATGTCTGAGACTCAAACTCCACATGCTCATTGAGTTCTCGCTTGTTCAAGTTCATACCTTGTAAAGAGTAAAGCACACATGGACTTTGTCAAGTAGACACAAGTACACAGATTAAAATCAAACACTTCCCTATACTCAACATGCTTTAATCAAGTAGTCCCAATTAATTACACAGAACATATAAATAAGTTTACAATGAAATACAAAAACAGCTAGTGCTTTTTCTTAGAATTTTACAAACTAACATTCATAAGAAACTTTGTAAATAGCTCAGCAATGGTGGTGCACACCTTTAATCCCAGCACCTGGGAGGCAGAGGCAGATGGATCTCTTTGAGTCAGAGGCCAGCCTGGTCTACAAGAGCTAGTTCCAGGACAGGCTCCAAAGCTACAGAGAAGCCCTGTCTCAAAAAACCAAAAAATTAAATTTAAAAAATTTAAAAAAAGAAACTTTGCCTGTAATCTCAGCACTCGGGAGGCAGAGGCAGGCGGATCTCTGTGAGTTCGAGGCCAGCCTGGTCTACAAAGGGAGTTCCAGGACAGGCTCCAAAGCTACAGAGAAACCCTGT